TTTTTTTTTTTTTTTTTTTTTTTAGCGGGGGCATTTATGGGATGTAAATGAACAAACCGGAGCCCGAAATGCCCCGAGCTGATGGAGCGTGTGCGCTGCAGCAGGCCAAGGCAGCAGCCAATGAAAGCCGGGCTGCCGATTTTTTATCATTAATATTGCGAGGCAACATTAACTGATTGGAAAGACTTTTCGGGAGCAGGCAGAGCCTGCGAGCCATCGCTCCCTCCCGAACCGTTCGCTACCCGGCTTTTTGAGAACGACACTCGGCKCCTTTCGTTTAATCTTGGCGAGGGATGACGAGTGACACAATTTCTCCCCCTCCTTCGAAGAATTTGAAAAGAAATAAAAAAAGCGAAGGGAATTTTGTGTTTTAACCGTCGGAGGGGAAAGCACACGGTGCTGAGGAGAGGGGCAGCGGCTCCCGGCGGCTTTCCCCGCGGATGTTGAGCGCGGCAGTTCCGCGGGGCAGCGCGCCGGCAGCTGGGGCTGCTGGTAGCTCTGTTTCCACGGGGAAACGGGGTAAAAGAGAAGTTTCCACGCGTGTCACCCTGCCACGGCCGCGGCCAAGCCCGCGGGTGCCCGTCGGGGCCAGCAGCGCTCGGGCAGCCCAGCCCCGGCCATGGGAGCGTCCCGCGGGGCCACCGGGACTCACGGAGGTGCCCGAGAAGGGGCCAGGTCGCGGGCGATCCTGGGTGGGGCCAGCTGGGCGAAGGGGTCACCTCCATCCACCTTTTGTTGTTTGCGGGTCCCATATGAACATCAGCGGCTGCTGGGGTTAGGGAGAAGCTCGGGGGATCCCACAGTGGGATGGGGGCAAATTTCCCTGAGGGAGATGCGAGGCCGTAGCGGGAGGGTCCCGCTCTGGGCAAGGGGGTCCTGGCGCGGTCTGGGAAATTCGCGGCGCATTTCTGGGCGCAACGAAAAAAGCCGCTGGGACAGAGCCGGCGGCAGCAGAGCCAAAGCCTCGGGCGCTGCCGGCCCGGTCCAGGTGAGCGGGATTCAAATCCTTCGCCCCTTTCTTCTTCTTCCTCCTCCTCCTCATCTTTCTCCTCCTCCCCGGCTCGCACGCACAGAGCTCTGCCGGGAAATGAAAGTCATTTATTGCGAACAAGGAGGAAATAAGGGCGAGGGTGGTTTATTCTATTATTATTATTATTAATATTATTYGGAGGAGGGGGATGAGCCGGGAGCCCCCMAGGAGCGGCGGCCCGGCAGGAGCGGCCCGCGGCCGAGGCTGCCCCCGGGAAGGAGGCGAAGTTTCGGGCGGAGCGGCGCGGGGTGCCGGGGGACCCCGGAGGGGCCGGGCCAGCCGCCCCCCGCCCGTCCCGAAAGCCCCCCCCGACATCTCGTTTTTCTCCCCGGTCGCTGTCGGACGCGGGCGGGCGGGGGCAGGGGGCGGCCCGGGGGGGCCTTTTCGGAGCAGGTTTGTTAACCAAAGCAGGTGCTAAAAACCAATAAGCCCGGAACAAACGCGGTCCCCCCCGGGAGCCGGGACAATTGTTTCCATTTAATAAATATTTTCCCCACGGGCGTTTCGCGGGAGGCAGGCAATTATTCAAAGCAAGCCGGGACGCGGGCCGGCTCCCGGGGTTAAGCGGGGCTGCGGAGCGGGGAAGGCGGGGGTTGGGGAAGCGGGAGAGCGGCCGGGAGCGCGGGGAAGGCGGGGATGGCGGGGGAAGCGGGACAGCGGTGGGCGCACGGCGGAGCGCAGCGCTCGCAGCCCCGACGGCGGCGGCAGAGCCTGGAGGGAGCAGGGACCGGCCCCGCTCCGCGCACCCCCCGGGATGGGGGAGGATGAGGAAGATGGGGACGACCCCCTTCGCCTTCCCCCTTCCTCCAGAGCCGCTATTAGCGCAGCAACTCACAAAAGCCTTCCTTTTAATCCGCGCGTTGGAAGACGGGGGGGGAGTGGGGGGG